TGAAATCTTCGGGTAAACGGATGGATCTAGAAACTGTTATACTAAGTGAAGTAACACAGACTCAGAAAAATAAAAGACGTATATTCTCCCTCATTTGCGGATCCTAGCACCAGAACCTTTTAAATTCCATGTTTTTTTTAATAAGATGATGCTATACAGCAGTCCCTTCTGCATGAAATAACTACCATTATCACGACTTTAGCTGAGCCTGATTGCTAAACATTGTCACGGTTGGGCTCGTTGACAGTTGTTCTCATTCACTAAAGGAGGGCCAAGCAGGGTCATTGGACCCTCACCAAATTATCCAGCCACTCTTCCCAGCCAACTGTATGTAATTTGACCATAATCATACATGGCCTCCTGGATTTGGGGAGGGCTAAAGTGTACAATCTGGGGAAGGCTAGGAAGAGAGGGCATGGCCCATGCTGGGTAAAGGCTTTCCAGTGTGCATACCCTCAGGTCATACATACACCTCATCAACCCCTCAGTTATCTTGGTAAATAAGCTGAATAAATTCATTTTCAACTGTATGTAATTTGACCATAATCATACATGGCCTCCTGGATTTGGGGAGGGCTAAAGTGTACAATCTGGGGAAGGCTAGGAAGAGAGGGCATGGCCCATGCTGGGTAAAGGCTTTCCAGTGTGCATACCCTCAGGTCATACATACACCTCATCAACCCCTCAGTTATCTTGGTAAATAAGCTGAATAAATTCATTTTTCATTTTTTCCTCAGTAAAACTTTAATCAAACATTGGCTTGACACTAGAACCTTAAAAGGGAATAAGCATTTCTTAGTATTCCCAGGAAAAGAAGTCTCACAACAGATGGAAAATTTATTTGTTAATGTTATTATGTCTCATAATTATTTCCTTAAAAAGAAAATGAGAATGTAAAAGATGTTGAAAGGACATGGGAATGGAGATATTTTCCAAAATAGACAAAATGAGAAAGCCTAAGCAAGTGATGAAGGTCTGTTTAGGTTTGTTATGATATATAAAGGATGAGACAAAAATAATATACACATAATCTTAAAATGTCTATAGTTATAGTCAACTAGTTTAAGGAACAAATATATATATCTAATCAAGGTTTATCTGAGAATATTTGGTTTTTGCTTAAGCTTTATCTACAATGTACATGGTAATTAAAAGTACCAGACTGGTGGAACTAACCTTATTGGACATTTAACAGCTACAGCCATAGTTTGAGGCCGATACTAATATGGTTAGAGGGACTTAAAGGATAATTTTTGCCCCTTGCCCTCCAAGGTTTTCTAAGTTCCAGGGGACTAAGGAACATCTCTCAAAATGCCCTGTAACTGTGATGAGTCACCTGACCTGTTGTTCAGGGAGGACATGGAGACCCCACGAGATGGACTTGAACCAGTGTCCAGTCTACAAAGAGGAGGGTCAACACAGAGGAAACATCTCATTCATGCTTCCGAGTAAAGCCAGACATGGTCAAGCAGGACCTTTGACTTGTCTTCACATAGATGGAACTGGTAAAAGAAAGGAGCCAGGAATGCCTCCTAAGCCCATGTGACCCCTGAGGTACAGATCCTCAAATGATCTTAAGTGTAAAAATAAATTGATTTATTTGAGCCAACTGTATGGTCTCAAACACCCAAAAGGAAAGTATAACCAAAGAGTAAAGTCATCACTGTATTTATTTAAGAGTTCAAGGGATTACACTTCCCAGACATTAGGCTTAAGTTTATATATAAAGTTATTTAGACAATTATTTCTCATTGATGACTTTGTTTCTAACCAGAAAGTGCTGCTCAGATGTAAGACTTCAAATCTTGGTCTCCAATACTGTAGTGCCCACCTGTAGCTAAGGGAAGCAACCAGCTATTGTTCTAAAATGATGGCCAAGTTTTTTTTCTCCCCGTATCTAGAAGCCTATGAGAGGGAACTGACACTGATTCTAACCACTCCAATATCTACCAGAATACCTGAAAGCAAATCCTGAATCCATCACTCGAGTCCAGCCTTGGAAGACAAAAGAAAAATGAGGAGGAACCCAATAGAGGGATGCTTTAGGAAGCCCTTGTCAAGAAATTCCAATGGACTTTCACATGAACATTTGAAAATTTCCCTGTTCTGACTTTTTTCTAGCTCCCTGTCTAGAACTTGTAATGCTAATTACGCTTGCCTTTACTTCTACTTCACATCTATTCATGATTCAAGGGCTTTCTTCTCTCCTTAGAGACAAGAGTTTGCAATTTTGGAGTCTTTTAGATAGACCCACTGAAGGGGTACTCCAATTGCCTCACCCTATGTCCCTGTTCAGCATGGAAGAAGCCAGAGTGGTCTGCATCCTGATTCACTATTGGCAATTTGGGTAACCTCTTCAGAGGATGGTGTGATAAGAATTAGGAGCTGGGAACTGCCTAGGCAGTTAGAGTAAAAAGATCCCAAAGAAAAGTAGCCATTAGCAACATACTCTGTTCCAAAGGCCAAAAACGTCAAAAGTATTTGGGAGCTCTTATCTAGTCCGATTTTAAAAGATTTTAAGATTATCTCTTCAGAGGGGGGAATGTTAGAATAGCCAAAAGCCCCATAAAAATAAATAAATAAATAAATCAAAGAAGAAAGAGTACATAAACTTATCAGAAAAAAAACGATGGAGAGATATGGGAGGAGTTGGAGGGGAGGGAGTGGGCATGGATTTGATCAAAACACTATGCATGTATGAAATTCTCTATAAATTATTTATTTAAAAAAGAAATAAAAGTAGGTCACAATACAAGTTGCTAATTCAAGTGTGATAGTCTCATTGGAAATGCACTTTAACAAGAAACTATTGCATTCACATTTACCCCAGTAGTTCAGTGCTTGGATATGTATGTCTCTAATGTGTATCTGTTTATCTGTCATCTACCTATTACTTGTGACATTGAGCCCTAAAAATTGCCTCCGAGAATAGGTTTTCTATCCAGAGGATAAGCTACTACTGGGTGACGCAGATCGAGCCATTGGGAGACAAGGCCAGTAGCTTGGTCAGAATTTAAAAATTGGTTGCTATGTGAAGAAAAAGTGCAGAGTTCTAGGAGTCACGATTTCACGTTCCACAGGTGTAACAGTCAACTTTGACTTCTTACAAGGTTGCCTCTACTGTAGTGTCTAGCCCTGAGGGAGATTCCAGTTGCTCCAGATCAAAAGGTCAGAGGGGAAACAGCCAGACTCAGAAACTTGTGGGCCGCCAGACCAGTCATGTTCCTGATGCAGACCTCCGCTTCTCCTAGGTCTGTGACAGGCAGTTTACAGAGGATGGACTCGGGGTAGCAGTCTCTGTGCCCGGGGGTTGCAATGACAGTAGCAGGACCAGAAGTAACTGAGTCCCAGATTTCCCAGGATAGGGCCCAGCTTCTACTGTCTCAGTCACTGCCCCTCTTCTAACGCCAGCGCTCCCAACTTCCCTGCTTCCGCCCACAGTACTTTGCCCTTCATCCAACCTACTGAGCATGCTCTGAGTCTAATTCTCATGCGCTAAACACGGCCCAATCAGAATCTTCAACCTGAAAAGGATGGGTTGCCCCTGGGAGAGAGGCGGAGTCTAGGAGCGCAATACGGAGCATGGTTGGCCAGCCTCAGGGTCCACATCCTTCTGCGGGCGGAGCCTTGCCCGGAGCCTCGTCTAGGAAACTGTTCTCCTAATTTGGGAAGTGTGGGCCCGGGAGGGGCGTGGAGCTGGCGGCGGCCGTGCGCCTGCGCCGTCGCGCGGCTAGGGCGTGTTCCTGGTCTCCGATCTTGGTGTTGCACCGATCCAGTGCTGCACTTTGCCACCCCGGTGCATCCAGCAGGCTCTCCACGTCCACCGGTCAGGTGCTGCCCTCCGCGGTGAGTGCGCGGCCCCGCGTGGGTGGTCCCGAGTGGGGCGGGCTGGACCCTCCCACCCCTTCCCCTGCCCGGCGCCCCCGCGCCGGACACTCGCCTCGGGATGCCCACTCCCCAGCCAGGCAGACCCAGTCGGGGCGAGGCTGCTTCCCGCCCTGTCCCCTCACCTTCCTGCTGTCACCCACGTGCCTGTATTTTCTCGTCCTTGGTTGCAGAACATGTCCAAGTCTCTGAAAAAGTTGGTGGAGGAGAGCAGGGAGAAGAACCAGCCGGAAGTGGATATGAGTGACAGGGGCATCTCCAGCATGCTGGATGTCAACGGCTTGTGTAAGTTCTCGCGGTCTTCACCCTGAAGGGTTTCCAAGTTTGCGGTCCTGGGGGAGCTCAGCAGGTCTTGGATCAGCCTCGGCTTGTAAGCGTCACTTGTCAGCATCTGGGCTCTGAAAGTTTCCAGCCAGAATTTGGTCTGCTCCGACTGGAAAACAGGGTGAGGACCGGACAGGAAGCTTGCTGCGGTTCCTTACCAGCTGTTAAGATGGCCTTGAGTCAATTTTCCACATAATGTATCTATTACCATTAAATATTCTTATTTGTCTTTCTGACTCTTCGCTAGGATGGTCATTGATCGTGAGCTGATGGCACTCAAAAGTTGTATGATTAACAAGAATTCTTGTGCCTAGAGTATTTTCAACATTCAGTCTTCATGGTTTGTCCCAGGGTCATTTCTCCTTGCCTCTTCCCGCCTGTTCACTCCGGTGCACTGAGTTTGCCACCTAGCCTCCACTTTAACGGTCTAGTTTAATCAGGGTGTTGCCCTGAGTGTTGTATTCATGCTACCCATCCTTAGAACCAGAGACTCCAAACTCAGGAGCTGAAGTGGCCTTGAACACTGACTGCTACATGTGCCCCTCTGATGGGCCAACTGCTCCTGCTGGTCACATCCACTTACTGCCATCGTGGGAATGTTGGCCCAGTGTTGCCTTATTTATTTTTTTACTTTAAGAAGCCTCAAACCTAAGTTTTTATTCATGTTTGTCTGAGTATGGGTTTGTGTACATGTGTTCTAGGAGGCTTGAAGAGGTTGTCAAATCCCCTGGAGCTGGAGTTACAGGTGGTTGTAAGCTGTCTGATATGAGTGCTAGGAACCAAACTTGGACCCTCTACAAGAGCAGTATGCATGCTCTACGATAGAGCCATCTTTACCACGCCTCCTGCGTGCATTCTTTAGAGTCCTGTCTGGAACACAGTAGGTACTCCAAAATGTTTGATGAATAAATGGAAGAGTGATAGGTTAAGTCTGAGTTCATGAGAGCCCAACCAAGGTAGGACAGCAGAGAGTGAATTAGGGGAGATGTCCAAGGGACCCTAAAGAAGGGGACAGCTTATGATGGAAGGAGGAGAGAATCAAGTTTACTGTGAGCCTGTGGTTTGTACTTGAGGCACAGGCTGGAGTGGATGCCATTTATTTGACTTGGCAAAAATGGAGTTGTAGATAACTTGCATCTGGTGACAGTTAGGAAAAGTCCTGCGTGAGCTTAGGTCTTTTACTTGTTAGCATCCTGGATTTTTCAATATGTGTTGGGTCTTCTACAGTAAGAATGGATTTGTGAGCCAGTGGTGGTGCAAGCTTTTAACCCCAGCACTCGTGAGGCAGAGGCAGGAGGATTTCTGTGAGATTGAGGCCAGCCTGGTCTTACATAGTGAGTTCCAGGCCAGCTGGTGCTACAGGGAGACCCTATCTCAAAAAGTCCCCCCTCCCTGGGGCTGGAGAGATGGCTCAATGGTTAAGAACACTGGTTGTTCTTGCAGAAGACCCAGGTTCAAATCCCAGCACCCACATGGCAGCTAACAACTATCTGTAACTCCAGTCCCAGGGGATCCGACAGCTTCTACACAGGTGCACTTACCTACATACAGGCAATACACGCATATACATAAAAAAGAATAATAAATAAAATTACAAAAGAAAGTCCCCTCTCCCCAAATAAAGAATGGATTTGGGATTGTTTATGGCACTGAATTGGCTCCTGAGGATGTAGATGCATCCTCGTGGCTACTGCTTAATGTGTGATTGTGATTTTTTGGGGGGGTCCTATTGCTGTAGAGGAAGAAGAGGGTAAGCATAAAGCAGGCCACCTTGCACATCTGTGTCCTGCATATCCCCAAAGTTCTCTGCCTGTCACATCCTTTTCGCTAGGAGCTGAAGTATGAGTCTGCTTTGAGCAGAGCAGTTTTATATAGTTTTAGAAGAGAAGACTCCATGTAATATTAACCAGTGGGGAAAGTGGCCTAGCTATTTCAGTTCAGCTCCATTATCTCTTTGATGCATTGGCTCTTATTACAGAAGAAAAGATAGCCACTTGCTTCCTGAAAAAAAAATGTGTATGGTATAACACTGAGTGGTAAAAAGCAAGGTCATTCTGAAATTGTTCAACAAGTAGATAAGGAAGAATGTTAGTGCTTCTTGGAAAACTCAGTGGAAGTAAATTTGGAAATCTCACCCCCTCTGGTAGTGTTGGTCTAGTGGGTGTCTGTATTCTGTTAACTCCTTGCCATTAGAACTCCCAAGAGTCTGGAGAGTTCCAGAATGTTCCTCGGCTGGCTTTATTTATTCGCCATGCACTGGGCTGGAGGAATAGCCCAGTGGGAGAGCATTTGTCTAGAATGTGTAAGGCCTTGGGTTTCATCCTCAGTATCACAAGAATAATTTTAAAAAGGGAGTTAATTAGTCATGTATACAGTGCATCTATTATATGACATAGTTACTTTATAATTTGGAATTCCCATATTCTTTATCACAATTTTTCCTGTAGCTTTGAAGTCTTATACTTTTTTCCTTTATCCAGATTAAACACAGGGAACAATTAACTTGTATGTAGAGAATGGTTATTTCTTGCATCGTAAGCTTTCCTTTCATTGCATTTATTTCAATTCCCCCAAAATTATTTAGAAATTCTGCTTTGAAGACAAAAAGGAAGGATTTGTAGTTCTTTGAAGTATCCGGAATTCCAGTCTTTCTGCTTGGGAGAGCTCAGTTTTAGAAGCACAGCACAGTACCTCCTCAGATGTAGTTACTTTTATTTCTTTGCTATAGAGTCTCATGTACCCCAGGATGGCCTTGAGCTCAACTCACTGTGTAGCTGAGAATGACCTTCTAGCTTCCACCTCCCAAGTGCTGAGATTAGGGGCTTACACCACTACACTGGGTTTATATTGTGCTGCAGATTGAACATTGGATGTCCTTCATGCTCAGTGAGCTACGTCAAGTAGTTACCTCTTGAAAGATGCTTTGAATTTGTGTACCAAAAGCTCCTGATGGGGACAATCTGAGATGGAGAAAAGTATGAGGCAACTTCTACATTTTCCTGCCAGAGCAGTCAGATTCTAGGGACTCAGATGGAGTCCTGAGAGGTTCTCAGGGGCAAGGGCTTGGAGTTCCATAGGATGGTTCCAATTCTGCTCCTTACAACTAACTGTACCCTTAGAGAGACTATTTTATCTTCCTCAGCCTCCAGGTCCTCACTGTTAAATGGGGATGTCAGTCGCCACTCCATAGGACTAGTTGAATGTTAAATGTAGTAATGCACATTGAATGTGGATTGCTAATGTGAATGTCCCCAGAGAGTCAGTGAGCACCAGATATAACAAGTTGCAGCATAGTTGTCGCCCTGAACCACACACTTAACGTGGTTAATTAGACTGAAGTATTCATGTCCTTTGTTGCAGTTTCATACGTTGCCTATTAGAACACATATTTTGGCACCTTTTTTGACTTAGATTGCTGTTCTTCTGAAATTTGTTCTAATCCTGCTTCATGTTTTAAACGTTTTTTATCCAACATGAAATCTGTACATGTATTCTTCTTAAAGTTTCTAAGTGTGACCCTGTATCCTACTCATTTTGTTCTTTTTATCAAGAAGAAAAAAAAGAAAACAAGCAAACAAAAATACATTGCTACTTTTTTGTTTGTTTTTTTAACAGTGGAAAAGCATTCCTTAGGGGCATCTGTCTCCACACCTGTATTTACTGTTCGATAAAATCACTTTTAAGACCTCCCATGATAAAATCTTAAAAGACCTCCCATAATTGGCTTCCCAGAACCCAGGGATCCCAGCAGTACCCATGGGAACTTTTTTTCTTTTCATTTTTTTTTATTTAAGTATTTTGTACCTTTTAAATATCTTCAGGTTTATTTCCTGGAGTGCTCAGTTTCTTATCAGTCTTTCTTTTTTCCAGCTGTGCTGGACAGCTTTAGTGTCAACTTGACACACCTGGGTTGAGGTAGCCTCAACTGGGGAATTGCCTTCATTGGACTGGTCTGTGGCTATGTCCTTGGGGCACCTTCTTAATTGTTGAGTGATGTGGGAGGGCCCAGCCCACTGTGGGTGGTGCCGCCCCTGGGCAGGTGGTCCTGTATTGTATAAGAAAGCAGGCTGAACAGGGGCCAGAGGAGCAAGTCAGTAAGCACTGTTCCTTCATGGCCTGTGCTCCAGCTCCTGCCTCTAGGTTCCTGCCCCGAGTTCCTCCCTGGGCTCCCTGATGAACTGTAACCTGGGAGATGTAAGACAAATAGACCTTTTCCTCCCCAAGTTGGTATTGGTCAGAATGTTTTGTCACAGCAATGGAGAAACACACTAGGACAGCAGGTTAGATTAAAATGTCTCTCAGGTACACCTCTAAAAAGACGTAAGCTGCAGAAGTGGTCTTTCTAAGTGGCCATGCAAAATAAGCAGCCAGCTTCATCACAGGCAGGTGGTACTGTTTCACAAGCCCTGTTAAACCTTCTAGGAGTGCCTGTTAGCAGTCCAGGCTGTCTTTGGGAAGGAGCAGAGAGCCTGGAAGAATGTGTGATTTTAGCTATACTCTGTATTAAGGTCTTTATTTTTTTCCCTCCTATAAGTGGCATGTATAGGCCTAGCTTTGTGTTTGAAAACACACAGGAAGGCTTGTTTCCCTCTCTTCTGCTGACCCTCTGTCCCCTTGCTAATTCATGGTGTTGAGAGAATGGCCGACCTACCTGTCCACTGGCTCCACTCTTGTATCACCTCCTCTGGGACGCTTCCCCATCCTGAGTTTTAGCTCCCCATCCCTTTAGACTGGTAGAGGTATCTCTGCTATAGTGCTTGGAAAGTTCTTGTTTCTTTTCAATTACATGTATTTCTTAAATGTATGTGTGTTTTTCCTGAATGTATGTAAGTGTACCTGTGTATGCAGTGCCCATGGAGGTCAGAAGAGGACATCAGATACCCTGGAACTGGAGTTACAGATGGTTGTTAGCTGCCATGTGAGTGTTGGGAACTGAACCTGGGTCTTCTGCAAGAGCAGCT